CAATAAAAACTTTGACAAGTTGTGAGAAGGGACCAAAAAATGAGTTTAGTCCGAACCCAAAGTGAGGTGGTTGGGAGAGTAGTTCCGATTGAAGATTAATGGATAATAAAAATCCTTTGACGCCAAAAAAAAAAAAGACCAAGGACGACTTTCTTAAGAGAATGGTAAGAGAATGAGTTCCACGTGTTCCACCGGTTTCGTGTTCCTTCCCGGTTTTCATTTTCACGTTATAAAGTCAAAACTCAATAGAGAAAGAAACAGAGAGACCCAAAGTTAAAAGAAAATAAAATAACAGAGACAAAAAAATGACTAGCTCTGAATCTCAGCTTCACAATGTCTTTGTCTACGGTAGCTTTCAAGAACCTGACGTTGCCAAGATCATGCTTGATCGTACTCCAGAGATCATCGCTGCAACACTCCCTGGCTTGTACGTCTCTCTCTCTATCTAGATTGATTTCTCTGTATAGATCTAAGGTTTGATGGAGATTTTGGGTTGTTCAGTAAGAGGTTTAGGCTCAAAGGACGTTTGTATCCATGTATAGTGCCATCTGAGACTGGAGAAGTCCATGGAAAGGTTTGATCTTTGATCATTCTTTTTTTAAATTCAGCTACTTGTTGTGTATGCTTGATTCAGGATTTTAAGGTTTAGAATTTAAGAAAATTCGGTGGATTTGGTTGTAGATTCTGATGGGATTAACAGATGAAGAACTTGAGAATTTAGATACTGTTGAAGGTAATGACTATGAAAGAGTGACAGTTGGGGTTGTAAGAGAGGTAAGTTCGATTCAACTCCAAGAAAAAACACAATTCTACTTTTGAAAACATTGTTGGGTTGGGTCTTGATGATGACTTGATGAGATTAGATTCTGATGGGTTTGTTTTGTATATATGCAGGACAATTCAGAGAAGATGGCAGTGAAAACATATATATGGATCAATAAGGATGATCCTGATATGTTTGGAGAGTGGGATTTCGAGGTTTGATGATTTGAACGGTTTTTATGTTGTTAACTTGTTATGACTGAGAATTCGTCTATTGATTCTATTCGGGTGGTTTGA